AAATACATTGTCTTTTTTCTCTCTTGCCTTTGTTACAGAAAAACCAGAAACCAGAGGTGGAAACTGGTCGGCCGACCAGATTTTCTGGTAGGCCGACCACCTTCTTTGGTCTCCACCACAAAGGGTGGTCAGCAGGTGGTCTCCCATGCTGATAACTGGTCGGTGGCCTTCCCAAGGTGGAGTTTCAGCCTTCTGGAGCTTTGTGCAAGTTTCTGAGATCAATTGCAAACAAGGGCGAGGCGAGGCATCGCGATGGAATTTACCGACAAGGTGACTCGAGCATGCATATACCCTTCGCCATCCGAAACAGAGCTGAGGCAGTCCATTGTATTTAGTTTGCATGCTAGTTTATCGCTTACTTAGTTAATTTGTTGATTAATTAATATTGTGTAATAATTAGCTGTAATTTGTTATTTAGTTTAGATTAGCTAGATGGTTTGTACTATTCATTCGGACCCTCCGAGCGAGAACACAATTGTAATAAGTGTGTGTGTGTGTGATGTATATCTTCCAATCCCACGTCTTTCTCCCTTTTATTTACCAGCTTATGATGGTTATTTTAGGACATGTTTCAATTAGCATACTTATGATAGCATGTTTGCATTCATTCATTTGTCTTGCATGCACCGGGCTCGGCGCATCATACTAACTGCATTTGTATTTCAATTCCAAATTGAATACGTATTAGCTGTAGCATCATCATATGCCATCTTTAGAATAGCCGAGCCTATTGTAGTCGTATTCCTGCATGTGTTGCATTAGGCATCTCAGCATAGTTAGAATCATGTATAGATTTCTAACATAGCTTCTGTTTTTGCTTGGAGTACTCAGTAAGTGTTTATGCTTTAGCATCCTTGCATGCGTGTGAGTGACTGCCATGATAGCATGTTTACTATGAGGCTAACTGCTTATGTGATATATCTGCTTGAATGCCTATGGGTGAAGGTTGGATTATTTGAATTGGAATAATGCATTGACTGTGAGTTTTAAGCCCACTTGAGAGTGGCAAACCATCTTGTTTTCTAAGCCCACCTGAGGGTGGCAAATTCGCATTTTAGCCTACTTGCGAGTAGTAAACCGTTTCAAAAGTAAACATAAGGTGTTTTGTTCCAATTCAGGCGATCCATTCTATACTTGTATGCTGTGTGCATCACGTAGTAAATCTAGGCTAATAACCGGAATAAGAGCACATAATGTTTTCAAAACTCGATATCATGGTTAGTAGAGGCCGATCTTTGATCGGGCGAGCGGGGTGCTCACGAAGTGACCTTCCCCAATCGTACCCAAGTTCCCGAGCCGAGGCAACTTTGGTAATGACGGACACATGGCCTTAGGCAAACGAGTCAAGGTTTCCTAAATTCCCCAAAATAAAATATTTAGGTGGCGACTCTGTATCTGGCAAAGCAGTCCATGTTTGGCACTTCTTTCAAAAAAATCTGTTTTCAAAAACAATTTGCCAAATTTTGATTCTTTGATGATTCATCGGTCTTGCATTACACTCTGCGAGATTAGATACAGGACCGTGACATTTGAGTCCTGAACCGTAGTGAGCCCATAATGAACAAAACAGGATTTCCCTCTCGGGACATTCGGGAACGTCTACCGAGATATTGACTACGACATACCCGACTGGGTATACGGTGCCCAAGTTTATTAAGTTTGATGGAAAACAAGGCAATGCTAAAGAACATGTGGTAAGGTTCATTGAAACTCTTGGTGTCCATGGTAGTGACCACTCTCTGTGCCTTCGGGAGTTCTCCAAATCACTCACCAAAAGGGCTTATAGTTGGTATGTGAACTTGGCTCCTAACTCGATCAAGAGTTAGGAGGAGATGGTATACAAGTTCCACACGAAGTTCTTCCAAGTCCAGGAGAAAGTTACAACCCTCGTACTTGGGCGAGATGTCCAAAAAGAAGGCGAAGATATATTGGACTATGTTAAGCGATTCCAAGACAAGGCTATTGACTGTCATGAGCCAGTGGACGAAGTTCACTTAGTTAGCATATGTGTGGAGGGTGCCATACGTGAATACAAAATTTTCTTGGTGAACCATAATCTGCTTGCTTTTTCAGCCTTGGTTGAGGTAGCTAGAAATCTCAGTACCACTGGTCCTTTACACAGATCTTGTGACAGCCACCGTTACTCCCGCAGTAGCAGAGTTTCTACGGTAACCTCCACAAAAAAAAGCCGCTCGCAAGCAGAGGCCCCGTCCTCTCGAAAGAGAAAGAGTTATGAGGACAGGAATCCATATCCTTGCAGACTTGAGAATGTTAAGGCCTTGGTTAAGGAATAGGTTGCTGATGGTGAACTCACTTTGCCTCTGGTTGATGTTACTTCAACCAAGAAAGACAAAGACAGCCCGGATTATTATGTTTATCACAGAACCACTAGACACCCCACTAGAAACTGCTGGACATTGAAAAATATCTTCAAGAAGAAAGTTGACGCGAACGAGCTGAAGTTCAAAGATGCCGGTAATCGTGACATACGGAAGGACCCTTATCCTAACCACAAGGAGAAGGGAAATAATGTACACATAATTGGCTATCTCGGGCCTGTGCGTAATCAAGTGCACATGCGTCCTACTATGATGAGTTAGAAGAAATTGTAACTGGCCAAGTACCTGCAGAGGCAAAATTCGCAGAGGATACTCATGCTCAAGCCTTCCAAAATTATGTTAAGTTTCGCACCTTCTTTGACCAACTGGGGCTGAGCCAAGCCGCCAGGATGGAAGCAACAAAGGCCCTCATAAACATCACTGAACTGCACCATACTGAAGTTGCTGAGGCTAAGGAGTATGTGCCTCAATGCATCCAGGAAAATTATGGGACCATTACTTTTTCAGAAGCAGACAGAGCATACCCATTTCCTCATAACCGCTCTCTTTTTGCCATAGCTTACATCAATAATGTAGAGTTCAAACGTGCTTTCCTCAATGGTGGGGCATCCATAAACATCATTACCGCGGACACCTTTGCAAAAACTAGTATCCCAAAGTCCAGAATGGTTCGCTAACCCATTACTGTAATGGGTTTTGGTAGTGAGAAAAAAGTCACTAAGGGCCATGTTGTAGTGGACTTAGCAGTTGGCGAGATTCGTTCCGCGACTAAGTTCTATGTGATTGAAGCAGATACAAATTACCACACGATACTTGGCAGAGCTTGGATACATCAATATGGGGTTATCCCGGTCCAGTTATCACCAATGTGTGAAGGCAAAGTTAGAAAAGCGCACAGTTACCATAAACGCGTCTGAAAAGCCATTCGAAGTGGAAGAGGCACACTATTTGGATGCAATTTTCTTTATTGAATTGTCAATGGATGAAACTCCAAGGACTGATAAAATTGCAGAGGTAAAAATTCCAAAGTGGGAAGACATTCAAAAAGCAGAGGTTGCTCCAAAAAGCAGTGGACAGAAAAGGAGCAGCAAATCTACAAGTCCTCCGCCCAAGATTGTCAAGGTGCATAAGGACAGCAAGACAGTTTACTACCTATGACGGTCTTGGGGGCCAGACTTCATACCTTGGGAGGATAGCCCCGAGACAAATAAATGTGACGGTAATGAGTCTCGATAAGGGTTGGTAGAGACGCCTGAGCCCGCCCCTAAATGCATGCAAGATAGGTCCAAACCCCAGCAGGAGGTACTTGCTGAGGTCAACCTCAGTGACTTACCTAGGCAGAGCAAGCCGGTGCTTGTCAGTGATACGATGGCTCCAGCAGCTAAGGCAGAATTGATAACACTACTAAAGCAATACAGTGATTTCTATGCTTGGACATATGATGAGATGCTTGGTCTTGACCCATCCCTCGTCACTCATCATCTGGACACTTTTTCTAACTCTAAACCGATCAAGCAGCACGTTCGAAAGTATTACCTTGATCTTGAAACAAAGATTAAAGCAGAAGTAGAAAAGTTGCAGGGGGCCAAGTTCATTGAGCCTATACAGTACCCAACTTGGCTAGCAAATATTGTTCCTGTGCTGAAGAAGAATGGTCAGATCAGGGTCTGCGTAGACTTTTGCGACCTGAATAAGGCCTGCCCGAAAGATGAGTTTTCATTGCCCCATATTGATACACTTGTAGATTCAACTGTGGGCCATCGGATGTTCTCTTTCATGGATGGATTCAGTGGTTATAACTAGATCAAAATGGCACCAGAAGATGCAGAAAAGACAGCTTTCAGAACGCCCTTGGGAAATTTTTTCTATACGGTGATGCCCTTCGGTTTGAAAAACGCGAGGGCAACCTACTAACGGGCTCTGACTGCAGTGTTTCATAACATGTTACATCACGAAGTGGAAGTATAAGCGAATGATTTGGTGGTCAAGTCTACTAAGGCAAACCGCCACCTTTGCGACTTGGAAAAAGTTTTTCAGCGTTGTCGCATATTCTGCCTCAAGATGAACCTTCTCAAGTGTGCCTTTGGAGTTACCGCTGGCTAGTTCCTTGGCTTCCTTGTACACGAGCGGGGGATTGAAGTAGATGGGGATAAGATTAAGTCAATCATGGAGATGCCACCGTCACACTCTCAAAAGGCTTTAAAGAAATTCCTAGGCAAAATGTCATACCTCAGGAGGTTTATTCCAGCCCTTGCTGAGATAACCTTTTCCTTTGGGCCATTGTTGAAAGGGAATCACAAGTTTGAATGGTTGCAAGAACACCAACAGACATTTGATATGGTAAAGAAAACACTTACCTCCCAATTTACAATGATTGCCCCAAAGCCTGAAAAACCTCTTCAACTGTACCAGACCTCTACTCCTCGGTCTATTGGAGCCCTACTTGTCTAAGACATAGATGGAATTGAGAAGCCAGTCTATTACATCAGTCACAAAGTCAATGGTGCCGAGTCGCGATATACTCCAATTGAGAGGCATTGTTTAGCCTTGATCTTCACAGCGCAGAAGTTGTACCACTACTTTTTAGCACACCCCATCCAGGTTGTGACCTGGAGTGATCCAGTTCGTTACTTGCTGAGCAAGCCCACCCTGATTGGAAGAATGACAAGATGGCTATTGGCTTTAGCAGAATATGATATCACTTGCGTCACTCCTAAGGCTATTAAAAGCCAAGCACTTGCAGACTTATTGGCCCAGTTCCCATCTGGTGAACATGAACCTGCAAAGGTACCTCTACCAGGTGAGGTCCATGTCTCAACAGCTGCAATTGAGACTTATTGGGACTTAAAGTTTGATGGAGCTTCCGACACTGAGAAATGTGGAGCTGGTATAACACTAACCAGTCAAGAAGGAGAGAAGATCCATCTATCATATAAGCTTGACTTTGAGTATTCAAGCAACGAGGCCGAATATGAAGCGTTGATATTGGGCCTGATAGTTGCCCAAAAGAAGGGCCTCCGCAAGTTGAATATCTGGGGCGACTCCAAGTTAGTCGTTACGCAAACAATGGGTGATTTCGCATTAAAGGAGCCTCTGTTGGCCCCATATCGCACTATAGTTCAAAGGTTACTTACTCAGTTTGATGACGTCCAAATCCCGTATACCCCTCGAACACATAACCATTTCTCCGATGCCTTGGCTACACTGGGGGGGCAAATGTGGAGATACCAGATGATAATATAGCCATCATCATCGAGAAAAGAATAGCACCAGCGGTGCTAACTGAAGAACATGCAGAGCAAGATACTGAGGGGTGGAAAGTAGATATAATCCAGCAGCTGAAAACAAGCTAGAAGACAATCAGACCAGCAGAACTTGCATCATTTCTCCTTCTCAGAGGAGAGTTGTATTTTCGCGGTCCCAACAACTTGCTGGCAAGATGCATCAGTAGACAATAAGCAACTTACAGACTCAAGCAGATCCATGCTAAGTCTTGTGAAGATGGAGATATCAATCTATACCGACGAATATAGAGGCAAGGATTATTGGCCAAAGATGGAGAAGGAAAGTACTGAGTTGCAGAGGCAATGTGAAAAGTGTCAATCCCATCCTAAGGAAGAGGAAGCCTATATATATCAACTATCTTGAAAATGACACACTGCCTGAAAACAAAGCTGACGCAATCAGAGTTAAGAGGTGAACCCTCCGCTTCTTCCTTGACAAAGACAAGCTGTACCGAAGAAGCTTCAAGGGGGAACCTTTAGCGTACTTATCAAAAGATGAGGCAAATGAGGTGCCGAGGGAAGCCCACAAGACAGAGCATCAAAGAGGGCAGTGATTATACGGATATCTCATTTACCTCGGCTACTACTGGCCAACAATGGAAGAAGATGCTAAAAACTTTGTGAGGAGATGCCAATTATGCCAGAAGTTTGGGAATTTGATACATGCACTGGCAATTGAACTGCACAACATCAAGACTCCTTATCCGTTCCATACATGGGCATTTGACTTGGTAGGTCCTATAGCGCAGTAATCAAAAGGCTACAGATAGATACTTGCAGCAACCGAAGTTAGCATCAAATGGGTAGAGGCTATACCAATGAGGAAGGCAGATGGGGCAGGAGTAGCCAACTTCATCAGAGAAAACATAATCTGCAGGTTTGGCATACCCAAAGTGATGTTGTCGGATAACGGAGCTCCATTTGTAAATCGCCATGTTGGAAGGTTGTTGGATACCTACTGGATCAAGCACCACAAGTCTAGTCCATACTACTCCCAAGGGAATGGACAAGCTGAGGCAACCAACAAAACCCTTATCCGAATATTGAGTAAAATGATGGATGAAGCAGAGGGCACATGGTTTGAACAACTCCCCCTAGCAATCTGGGCTTATAGAACGTCAAAGAGAAAGCCGACTCAGGCAACCCTATTTTCCCTAGTGTATGGGTCCGAAGTTGTGTTACCAGTTGAGTTGGCAGTACCCTCAGCAAGAATGGCTATGTCAGCACACTTAGTTCCAGACAGCAGGAAGAATGACATGGAGGCAGCTGAAGAAAGAAGAGATTGGGCCTCGCGGGTAATGAAAAAATATCATCAATCCATAGCTCGTGCCTATAATCAATCTATTCAACACAGAAAATTCAAGGAAGGGGACTTAGTATGGAAAACAGTGGATCCAATCATGCGGGGCAGCCAATTCCCAAGTTCTCACCTAGATGGGAAGGACCCTACAAAGTTGCTAAGGAAAGCAGCAGTGGGTACTACAAGTTGACAAGAGTAAATGATGGATTCAGAACTGGTCATGTTAACACCAAGTATGTTAAAGAATATTTTCCTTAGTTCCTTTTGTTCAAAAAAAAGAGTTGTAAAGTTTGTTTGTTAATATTTCCAAAGCAAAGTGTAAAGAAAAAGTCATACACTTAGTAGGTCTTTTACTCTCATATTCATTTAGTCTGAGGAAAGTTTTACCTATTTAGTGAAATTTTACACTTGTAAAAGCTTAGTCATGATGAAGTTTTTGTTCACTGCAAGAGCTTTCCTTAATCTTTAGAAGTTATGTAAGAAGCAATGTAAAGAAAAGCAATGAAATGAAACCCAAAAGTACTACCAAACATACATGCTTTCCATTAAAGTCAAACTTCTAGAACATGATTACAACGTTTAAAAAGAAGTTATAACAGAGGAAAAGAAAAGAAAAGGTGCACCAAGCGCGATGCAACAACAAAATAAAGTAAGAAAAATGGAGGAAATCATAACAAAGTCACAGAGTTACATCAAGTCAAATCAAACCCTTCAAGAGGGAGTCCATCAGAGTCACATCTTGAGGCAACTGGGCAACCAATGCAAAGTCCTTCTCTCTGAACCGAGCCAGGTTCTGCCGGTGCTGCTCCAGGGCACCCTCACACTTCTTAATAGTCTCCTCTAGGGACGCAATCATCGCCACATTATCGGTGTGCTCGAGGAAACCATCAACCGTCTGAAGCCAGTCCTTCATCCATGATAGGTTCAAACTATTCCTCTCAAAGCTGCTCAGATTGGCATTGGCACTCTCCACGAACTTGCTGGGAGTCGTCAGGATCTGCTTGGTAGCAAGGTCGCGAATAAAGCCAGCAAGTGACTCCAGCAACGCCTTCTGTACTATAGATCCAGGGACATTAAAGGCAATAAAGGTGTCTGGATGCAGTGCTTGGACGCAAGCAAGAGTGAAAGCAGCTTCCGAAGAGACCTAGTATCTTAGGAAGGAAACTTTCTTTGACGACTGGGGGGACTCTTTCGCACCACTGCTAGCTTCAATCACTGGAGGGACACTGATGGAGTGACCAAAGGTCTGAGGGCAGCGCACTTCTTCTGAAAATGACTAACCAGCAGCATTAGAGTGGGTAGATGCTAGCTGGCGACCGGGTGAACTAGCCTCATGAGAAAGGCCAAAGCTGTCTGCACCGTCGTGTCGCTCTGAAAAGAAGTTATCCATCTAGTAATCTCCAACGTTCAGATCTGGGACAACAGTAGTATCCATCCGAGTATAAAATCTCGAGACATCACAAGGTCAGCTGGCACCTCTGGAAAGTGAGTGGGGTACAAGTCTGCCAGCTGTTCAGAAGTTGCCGAAGCAACTGGATTGGAAGTCTTAGCGGCAGTAGTAACAGTATGGGCGATTAAGGTGACAGTTACCTCTGCAAGTCGATCCAAATTTAGAGGGGTCACAGCAGGAACAGTGGCAGGCTGCCAGCAGCCACTATGCCTGCATTCCCCTCAGCCACTTGAACATCTGGAAGTGGAGCTTGCTAGATCAACGGAGACTCAGTGGATTAGGAAGAACCGCCAGATACAGCTCCAATGGGAGGTGCTGCAACTTCCAGTGGCTCCCTCATGCCACAATCTTCTTAAGGGGTCTCAGGTACGAAATCATCTCCGCCAACAGAGGAACGGCCGGAGTGCACAGAGTTAGAAGGATGCGGAGGCTCTAAACCCTCAGCAGCTATATCATCCGATGCAACTTTCACAGCAGAGGGCACTTGCACATTGCCTGCGGCCTCCACAACTGGCTCAACCTCAGTGGTCGGTTCGTCTCTCACACTTGGTTCCTCTTCAACGTTTAGAAGAACTGTCCTGCGAGTCTTGAATGTTGTCACCCTAGTGGCAATGGGGAGGTTGTCATCATTAACTGAGTCTGACGAAATGCCAATGGCAATAGAAGAACCCCTTGGGCCAGAGGGCAGTATGGTCCGTGGTCCCTAAAAAGAAGAAGAAGATCATGCGATTATTACAATAAACATAATAAGTATAAGAAAATAGTACAAAATATTTTCTAAGTATGGATACCTTTCAGAGCCTCTTCCCACGGGGCGAGGCATGTGCCTCAGGAACTGAAGTCGCTTCTGCTTGGGCTGCCCTCAGCTAGGAACAAGTCATGCATACTGTTGCACTCACCTCGGGGGGAGCAATCTGCAAGAGTTGAACAGACATTGCCCCAGACGGGTGAGGCTCTTCCACAACGGGCAGGGATAGAAGCTTAAAGTGACAGAATATACTGGATTGTTTCCCTCGGCCAGAAGGCAGACGAAGGGTTAGGTCGGGCTGTGGGATAGGTTCCATTGCTGGGACGACCGGGGCACTAATACAAAAACTGAAGAAGGAATTGAGATTGCGGTACCAGAATAGTCTATTGTTAGTAGTACAGGCACCCTCTCTCCCAAGTGAGGGAAACTCTATGACTCCAAGGCCCTCCACAAGTAGAGCAGTGTAGTCACGGTTAAATCATTGAAAACTCCGATGGAAATCAGTCTGAGGTGGGTAAGCATATGGAATGCCCTGATCCATCCTGAATTGCATAACGACCCTGTTCGATCAGTAGACTACACTAGACATGCCTTCTTCATTCCACACGGGCAGAAATCCAGGGCGAATCATGGCAGCAATAAGAAGAGAATTAGCGTGGACACTGTCGAGAGAAAAATCAACGTGGTGGGCCTCTGAAAAATAAAAAGGGCCAACAGAAATGCCTGGGAGAGGCTGAGTGAAAGGGCAGAAGACGCACTCATTTATATGGTCAACATAGTCTGAAAATGGCCTGTTAGTGCCAAGGCTAGACCACCGAGAGATGTGAGGGAGGGACTGATGCACTTGCCTCGTGACAGGCCGACCCCCTGTATCTAGGACAGGGTGGCCCTCTGCATCAAAGATTTCATCAATAAAGAAGGGCTCGTGTTCTTCAGGGATAGGGCCTATGATAGGAAATCTCTCATAGAAAAAGGCAGTCAGGAACTGGGTATGCACAAAGCTCCAAACGTCATAGCAGCCCATGGATCGCTCAATGTCCGAATGGATGAGGTCAAGACGGAAATATAAGTTACCCAGGAAGAGGGGAGCCAGAGGAATTTGATTACCGCTGCAAAGCTTTACAGCTAAGGGAAATACCAGGGGATTGATGCTTTTGACAAGGTTACTGGGTAGGACAAAGAATGAGATAAAATAGCTGACGAACGCCGCCAAGTACAAGTCACCTCAGTAGCCCGGACCAACTACGGAATCACGGCTCTCCTCAGTGATGTCCCCTACAACTGGTTGCAAGTCCTTAAAGAAATGCTTCAACCAAGAAAAATAGGTAGTCTTATCTCTTTTGGGCCTCTCCTGAAGCAGTTTCCCAGTTCTAAGATCATACCAGGAACCAAACTTCCACACCTCCCGAAAGGCGGTTTGAAGAGCAGTAACAATGACTTGCTCTGTGGGGGTCAAAGACGCTAGGTCAAAGAGGTGATCTCCACGAGTGTTGAGGTGCAAGAGGACGACAACATCTTCCAGGGTCAAGGTTATCTCCCCCCATGCCAAGGCAAAAGTGTGGGTGTCACGACTCCAACGGGAGACAATCATATCAGTGTTGGTCTGCACCTTACGCACTGATAACTCTCTCGAGATTAAAATGGCATTGAAAAGGCGAACATCACGCAGACGTTGCTTGAAGCCGCCATCCGCAATGACGTCATCGACCCAAAGGGACCAATTTGCTGAAGGGCCCAAATGAGTACGATAGTAGATGTAAGAATGTGAAAAGTCGCCACACTCTACACGAAACCGCAGCACAGAAGCCAGGTTCACCATGTCCGTGTCTTCCAAGGTGGCCTCCCCAAAAGGAAGTAGAGGCTTCTCTAGAGGAGAGACGTCAGGAATAAAGGAGTTAACCGCCTTCAAGAAGGGGTCGACCAGCCCTTCGAAGTAAGGGGCCCGCCTCCACTCAGTAAGGGGTGGGGGCAACTCTATCAGCAAAAAACCTCGTGCTGGCCATGAAAATGAGTAAAGAAAGTCAAAAAGCTTTGGAAAGATGGGACAAGGGAGAGAAGAAGACAAAGGAGACAGAAAGGTGTGTCGAGAAGAAGTGGAGGACCAGTGGACCCAAGAGCAGTATTTATAAAGAAAATCAGCAAAGGGCGTTAACACATTGCCCTAGGTCATTATGACCCGGCAGTCAAAAGGGTACCTTTTCAGAGCCGACGCAACTACAGACCCAACCGACGCAACCCTTGGGTTGTCCACTGACGTCATGCACGTGCAGGAAATAGGAAGCGTGTCTCCTACGCGCGCAGGGAGCAAAATGTAGAGGGTTAGAAATTAAGCCCCAAACTAAGTATGGACCTAAGCACTAAGATCGCCCTAAGAAGGCGACCACGGATAAAAAATAAGCATGGGCCAAAGCCCAAGGGAAGTGGGCCAACAAGTGGGCCGAGGCAGGTCCGACCCACCAGGGCTTGAGATGGACTCAGCGAGGAGAAAGGCCTAAGTCAAGTTGCAGAGGCAACACCTGCAGCGGTGAAGTTGCCGAGGGAACATGTGCAACGGTAGAGTTGCTGAGGCACTCTGCCTCAGCGCCGCCATTCCTATTAATTTCGGTTCTGCTGCCAGTTGAAGTTGCCAAGAGAACATGTGCAGCGGCAGAGTTGCTGAGGCACTCTGCCTCAGCGTCGCCATTCTTATTAACTTCGGTTTCCCTGCCAATTGAAGTTGCCAAGGGAACATGTGCAGCGGCAGAGTTGCTGAGGCACTTTGTTTCAGCGCCGCCATTCCAAGTATCTTTAATGCCACTGCCATTCCAAGTAATGTCGGTGTCACGATCATCTAGAGTTACCAAAGGAAAGAGAAGACCAAGGCAACTAAGTTGTAGATGCAATACTTGCAGTGTCCAAGTTGCGGAGGCTTTCTGCCAGCGCCGCCATCTCTAATATCTTTGGTCATACTGTTTGAACTCGTTGCGAGAAATGACTAGCACTGCAACTACTA